GCTTCATATGCGCCACAGCCTTTTCTGCTTCGTTATACTGAATATTTAAATCCAGGGCATCCCTTTACAAGTCAAGCAAAATTTGCCTTTATATTTGTTTCGAGACTTCAAATTCCCACAAGGGATCTCTTTTATCTACATTTACAACGCAGCGACAGAAACCGCATTAGTTTACAGTACGAGAAGGTCGAAGCTTTCATGACTGTTATGAACAACAATAATTCCTTTTCAATGTCTGGGGCTTGGTAGGATATCCGATGAATCTTCTCAGACATATCGTCCACCAAACGTCTTCGTCACTTTATTTGGAGGAAAATTTTCGACCTGCTAGCAATGCGGTTTTCTACGGATTTGAAAGGCACGATTTGAAAGCAACCCGTTGGGAACCTATCGACACCATTTCGTCCTTACGTAAAATCGCACTTCAGAACGGACCTAGTAAGATGATGGCAAGGTCGATCATTTAACATTAATTCCGAATCAAAGCACGTCCATACATATTAGGGTGCTAAAAGAAGCTGTTCAATGGACTAGCCATTTGCAAGGCAGCAGTCCAATAATATGGCAATATTCAAATTCATATAGAGAGCACAGTACTTCCCATTTTTCCATCATTGACTTGTTTTTTCACGTCGCTTTAATAAAGTCCCTGTCAGAAGAATGGATTCTAAATATGCTACCATTTTCAATGCCGCATTTTACAAGAAACATCTGTAGGGTGACTAAAATTGGCGTATAAACTTCCAACAAGGCTATCGTTCTTCTCTATGCACGAGTTTCAGCACGAAAACCAACTTTTTTAGGTGAGGTCGAGTAAGCAAATCGTATCGGCCGCTCGATGACGAATATCATTTCCCTGCTTGTGCTAATATGGCTAGAGGAGAAATGCCTCGTTTCTGTCGAAATCGAAAATTTGGATAATTAGCAAAAGTAGATGCAATTATATCAAGCTGATGGCATTTTGTTTCTGCTAAGTACGTCGGCTTCCCTTAAATTAGAGCACAAACTTTTAAAACATCAGGGTTCATGTTCCGCTGGCAGTGCTTTTCCATATGGGTAAGGAAAAGGAATGCTTGTCACCATTGAAATATCATCGGTCTTCCATCACTTTCATAGTTGGGCACGTTTTTTTAATGAAGCTGATGGTTCGGTGCTGATCTCCGTTTCTATGCCATCAGACGCGAGGCCTCATTTTTTTTAAAGCAATGTGGCAAGCGTAGCGTGTGATCTCTTAGTTTCCTTCCCATAGAGTAGCACTCATTTATCGACCTCGGAAGGAAGAAGGAAGAAAGACGGAATGTTCCACATAGGGCTGTATGATGATCATTTCGAACTTGGCGTGCTTGAGACAAACATCGAATTGACTGAGAAGCTAACGTCGCAATCCAGTTGGCTACCATAAGGGAACATGAAGATAGTTTGTAGCAGGCCTTTCAAACGAGTCGTCCCTTACATAAGACGTCATCATCATCATCATCATCATCATAAGACGTTTCCCATTTAATTCACTGCCTCCCTCTGGCGGCAGGCAATCATATTACAATCAATCTTTTGTATTGGAGGGTGCAAACAACAAAAGGATGAGCAGTTTACAGCTCAACACCTGAATGAACACGAACATCCATTATGGAGAGCCTCGTATATCACGCAATATAATAATCGATTTCTGTGCATTTCGATGATTTAAAAAGGGTTCATTGCAGACAGTCCGTGCTTGCACAAAACCACAACTTCAGGTCGTTATACTGACGTTACTTGGGCCGTATTATCAACTTTTACTAAAATAACGGGTCAAAAGTGGCAAAAACAAAAACAAATCTCATCGTGTTAGTTTAGCAAATACAACAGCAAGGCAACCCTTGTCTCCAAATGAAATTCAACCCAGACGAAATAAACCGCAGCTCATGAAACTGAGCTTAGACTGAATTCAGGAAGTACGTGGTAGGATTTATAACTATCTTCTTGTCTAAACGTTGTTCAGATCCGTTCCGTTCATTCGTTCATCCCACTGCATTATCACTCAGTTCTTCGCAGTGGTCCCTTCTGACGAGTACAGTACGTTCACGTCAACGCAGTGATAACCGGGATAAAAAAAATTTCCATTTTTCACTGCACCATCTTTCCGTTAAGGACATCAGCTTTATGAAACTACTGATTCATTTGAAAAGCTTGCTTCACAATCATTCCAATAAAATGTCATCAAATCACTCGATCATAATACTAGTACTTAAGGCTAGGAGAACTGGAAAAGGATACGTGGCAAAAATTGACCAATCACAGCGTTCGTCTTATCAATTCGTTGCGTAGGACTTCGATATATTTATACCTCTTCGCTTGAAAAATTGGAAATTGCTTGTTGGGCCAGAAATTATTATCAAGAGTTACATATTGCATTGATTACGACACCGAATAGTCAGCTATCGGGTAGGTCAAGACGAAGTGCTGCCCAAAGAGGTAATTGCAACGGAAACAATAACTGTACATATGATGTATTGTGGTATGACCACCGTAAAATATAATGCTGTCCCTATTATTTGCCAGTCACTTATAAATTGTTTCTCGGCTGATTGCGCCGAAGTAACTTGGGGTTAATTCCTTGCCCGAGAGAATTTGTAGTTGAGACAAAAACCATCCTTTCTTTGCGCTCTAACCCAGCACCTGAACTGAGGGGGCTAACTGCCACCGGCCCTAATTCAGAATATTTCAGAATTTAAAAATGAATTTAACTCGAGCACAATTTTTATGTCGGTGTCTAATTCGAATATCTAAAACTTAGCAATTTTTTGAAGTACAAAAATGCATGATTTATTTTCCGCAAGAAACTACATAAACTACATACTACTAAATAGCGCAACTTCATAAAGTCTGAGTCCAATCCAAATCATTTACTTTCGATTATTTGAATATCTTCATCATCTTTTGATTGTTTGGCTTTAGGATGACAAAGAAAGTTGTCAATTGTGCAAACAGCTTCCAGAGGTCTTTTCAGGTCTTTGGCTTTTTTTGATTTTGAGACAACACTTTGAGAAGAAGCCGGAGGAGAAACTTTGGTACTGTCATTATCAGGAACATTGCTCTTAGGGGTGATGAACACGTATGACCAGCTGTTCTCCACCGGGAGATCGTGAAGTCCATATTTATCAAGCACCTCGTTCAGCACATACCAGCATACCCGGGGTCGGTCAGTGCGCTTCTCTCTAATCGCAATATCTCGAATTTTAAGGCATAACTGTCGGCGAGAAATCACGTTGCTACAGCGCTCTTCGTTTGTCGACCCATTCTCAGTTGTCTGTTTGTGTTTCTGCTTCCAATACTCACAAAATTCCGCCGCTAATTTCTCGATTCCCACCGGGCTTCCGTGTACCAAACGGATCAGCGAAGGCACTGCTGAAACAGACACAGCTTAATAATGTCAATACAATGGAAAATTAATATCAATCATTAAAAATATATGCCACTGTAGTGGATGAACTGATTTACAGCAGGTCTTCGATCCCTGTTGCGGTGCTTCTAAGAAGTAACACTTTTTTTATTGTCTCATCAGCATTTTCTGTACCTGTTAATCGCTACACCAGATTGGGTTTCGCATAATTTATGGCTTTCGTTGCAGCACCTCAACACAGAGTTCTCACATCGCTTGCCTCACCTACGACTCAGCGGTGTGTGTCTGTTTGCATGATACTCACATTACACCGTTTCCATAAGCAGAACATCTATGGTTTGTGATCACAGAAGAACCACAGCTTCTATGAAAGTAAGTTAGCCCTTACCTTAATCATGCAGGTTGCAAGCTTGCATTCCGGTCGACACATGCCGGGTTTCGGTTCCCACACGATAAGCTTACGGGTTGGAGTAAATTTTTTATACTCAACCAGTTTGTCTAACATAGAAAACCTACTTCTCTTAACCTTCAAATCCACGGCGCTTACATGCGCTCAGATCGTTCGTTACGTAATCCCGTTATTCAGGCCTCACTTTTGCGTCAGAGCCATCGCTGTCACTGTACGCAGTCTAACCGTCGTTCTTGGTCTTTCGCTA